GCTTAATCTATAATACAGTAATACATCATAATTAATTTGTTAATTATGATGTATTACAAATCTAAATCTGCAAAGTAACTAATGTTAACTATAGTTGTCCAGTAAATGTAGTATAAATGTATTTCCCTTAGAAAAGTACTGGAGTAGAAGTAAAAAGCATAAATACTCAAGTAAAATACAAGTACATTAAAATGTTACCTAAATACAGGACTTGAGTAAATGTACTTAGTTACTTTCCAACATTGGGTTCAAGACACTGATTTTCACACATGGTTCAAGTCTGGCCAGGGACCTCTCTCTCTTTACCCATATTTTGTCAGTTTTTCTTTTTTTAAAAAGCCAAAAGTGTTACCTGTAAGCATATTTCCAGCTACCAAAATGCTATTTAAACTGTTGAAACAGGAAGTGTACCACTTGTAAATTGGGTCACTGCTGCCCCCCCGTGACTGTTTGAAGTTTGGACATGTTGGTTTTCAGATTAAGACCACACACTCACAAGCCTCTGGTTTCCATTCCAGCAAGTCTTTTCCATTCTCATGCAATACTGCATGAGAATGGAAACTAAAACCTCATTTGATAAAAGCATCCTTCCTGTTTACTTAGATGTCAGCACCTGATAAGCATGAAACACATCCCATTGGTTGAGATCAGATCACAATGAGCCTCTCTGTTTAATCAGGCAAACCATTGAGCCAGCTTTCCAAATGGAGTGGATTATTTTTGTTTGCTCGGTAGTTTTTAAAGCTTTTCCACCTATATTATGGAGCTACACCAAAATGATCCATGTTCCTTTTTTCTGTTTTTGTTTTGCTGCTGCACTCACAGCCTCATCTTCTCTCAGGACTCTGGACAAGCGTCTAGACTGCAATCAACTGGTGAGTCATAGAAAATAAATATAGGAGCAATCATATAAAAGTAAATTGAGGAGAATGTAGTCCTAGATTCGTGAAGTCACTCTTAACTTGTGTCTTATCTGCTATCTTGTTTTTTTCCCCCCCAGGGTCTTAACAACTGTTTAATTAGTAAGTATCTTGTTTTTCAAATCAGTAAAACAAGGGTGGCAGTATTTTGTCAATATCTTCACATTTGACTGTTTCCATTCCGAACGTTACAAAGATTTATTATTATGCACTGTAGAAGGATTTGTGCAAGAAAACATGATTTTAATGTGACATTTAGGTGATTCATCTGCCCACACACAGAAGTACACATACGTTGAATATATTCCCAACATTATAACATATACACCGTTAAATGTCAGATAACTGCTCAGAGAAACGCATGGTTGTTGGACTCGCGCCTATTGGCCCGGATTGGGATGCTGAGCATGTGGGAGTCTGGACAGACAAAGAAGGGCCAGTTTCTGTTATGAATGTGTCGTGGAAAATAAAGGCTGATGGTAAGTAATGCTAAAAATGTGCTTTTAAAACTAAAGTTTTGTTTATTGTAATTTACATTTTAACATGCATCAAAATACAAGTTGTCAACCAACCAGTCTTTCATCAAAGGGGAATAGAGAACACACTCTATATGCACTTTCTTCTATTCACAGCAAATGTATTTGCACTTCATGGATCGGAGATAAATATTCTGGATACACGTACAAATCAAAGTATGTGTGTGCAGTTTTCTTACAATCTCGGTAAACAGCTAAATCCAAACTTTAAGATGGTAAGATTGTAACATACTTGATTATTTAATTATTGCCATAACAGTGGCAAACAAAAGACGTTACAGATTCCTTTTCTTTACTACTAGTGGACATTTTCCTTGGATGGAGTTGAGGTAGTGCCTGGGCATACATATATGGTGTCAGTATTTAATTTGCCACAACCTGAGAATGGGGATGTCAGCATTAGAAAGGAAATTATTATCCCAGGTAAGTTACCTCCAGATCCAGACTACTGAAATCTGCATGAAAGATCAGCGAGACATTTTTATGAGTTCATTTTATATGTTTGCAACAGTTTACATTGTGTGCTTAAGGCAGAAAACGCATCAGGTATGATTACCACAAGTAAAATAAGCAATGTGAAAATAACATGTGCAGTCTCAAAAAAGGATCCGTTTAATATATATTGTGACAATGGCTCTTTTACCAAAACTATCTCTTTTCTTTCACATTTATCACACTTTGTCACCATTTGGATATGTAAATAAGTAATAATTTGGTGCATGTGAAAGCCTCGTCAGGCATCAGTGTGCTGGCATTTTTCATAATTCAGTGAGGGATTTTATTCTTCTTGTAAATCCAGCACAAAACAAATAAACTAATATTTACTGTCATGACCAGGATGTGATGACAGGAGAATACAAAAGGCCCAAACGTGTCTGGAAAATGGTAAATTTTACGTTCTTTACATCTCACAAGTTTTAATTGACTACTGTAAGGGATCCAGGACCATCTAGGCATTGTACTTTTGTTATTACAGGTAGTCTATGGGATCCTCACATGACCGCCAATGTGTCTGTGGATATGGAACATAGAAAGTTATCCATTGTTGTGGGATTTGAGGCAGCACAGTATTCAGAAAGATACCAAGTCTCCATTCAGAGTCTTAGTTTGAATTCCTCAAAGAATGTCTCAAAGGTAATTAAGCTGAATTTGTTTTGAGACTGCCATATATGATTTACTGCTTGTTTAACATGAAATACTGTGGAGTGCGCACATGAAATCAAAATGTGTTTTCTGACTTTGTCATTTCCATGCACAAATAGGAAAACAGAACATCGCTCAATGTGACATTTGAGTTTGGTTTGTGGCAACTCTCGCAATGTGAAATATTGTTAATGGTATGTTCAAGTTTTATTTAACGTCCTATCCCTGACAGTTGATAAAGAAATCCTAACTTGTAGAGATATAACATCCAGAGGTCAACTAACTCTGCTTATTTTAAAGATTCAGCCTTTTTTCATGCGATGCAAGAATTACTGTTGGCGCCCTGAGAAAATAATCGATTACTGCCTATGTAAGTACGATTTTTGACGCATACCGCTTGGTAGATTTTCAATTTGGCCATAAATCAGTTGTCCCCAACCTTTTTGGCTCATGACCCCTTTAAATAAATCAGTGTTCATTTGCGACCCATTGTTGCTGGTGTCACAAGACTTTTGACCTCTAAACTTTTGTCTGATTTTAATAAATGTTTGAAACCCAAAATGGTGAGACAATCCCATAATTCACAAAAAGCAAAGATTAGATAAATTGCCAAAAAGAAACTCAAAGTTATGTAGCAGAAGGTTTTTATTTTCTAATTTCCTATCCCATTATTCATCTGGCAAGCCCTTCAGATTTATCTCGATTGACCCCCAGGTTGTGAATCCTTTTGTATTTGTAGAGGGATTTAGCCAATCATTATTCTATTTATTCTTATTTAGTTCATTTATTATAAATTATTCTTTTGTTGTTTTTTTCTTTAGATTATCCACCACGGACTTTAATTGTAAAGGCAGCTGTGGGCCTGCTTGTCATTGGTTGCTGTCTTGCTTATTTCTTGTGGAGAGCATCCCATAAAGGTTTGCCTTCCTATAAATGCACTGTATTGAATAGAAAATGCAGCTTAAGTTCATAATTAATCAATGGACTTCATCCTTCTCTCAGTTCCTGTGAACGCATCCTCACCTGCTGTCAAAGAGCAACCAGAAGGTTTTCAAGTGCAAGAGAGAAAAAGAGTCCTAGTCATCTATTCCCTTGACCACCCTTTATACAAAAGCGTTGTTCTCAAGCTTTGTGCTTTCCTGGTAAGCAAATGTGGCACTGAAGTGGTCCTGGATCTGCTGGACTCTACAAGACTGGGAGTGTTGGGAAGCATTCAGTGGCTGGACTGGCACAGAGAACAAATAGAAAGCTCTTCAGATAAGATATTAATCCTGTGCTCACGAGGAGTACAAGCCAAATGGAGAGCCATGTGTGGCGACAAAGAGGTTTTTCTGAAGGAGGACGCCCGCTCACCTGTAGGTGACATGCTCACTCCAGCTCTAAGCCTCATGGTCCCCATTTCATCCGATCTGCCTCATTTGAAAAGTACATAGTGGCTTACTTTGACGACATTTGTTCTGAAGAACATGTTCCTTCACCTTTTAACATCACAGTACGATACAAGCTGATGAAACAGTTTGAGGAGCTGTTTTTCAGAATCCTGGACACTGAGAAGCACGAACCGGGCAGAGTGAATCACATCAAGGGCTTTCAGAGGACGAGTACTACGACTGTCCCTCAGGTAGAGCCCTGAGGGATGCCATAGAGGTTTTTCATGCGTACCAGCTGGCGCATCCAACATGGTTTGAAGATGAGTTACTGGAAAGCTCGAAGTTGGAGCTTGAACAGGCATCAGCTGAGTTCACGATGCAAAAACAATCACAAACCTCATTGCATATTGGGTACCCGACTCAGTCACCAGTCATGTAAAGACACAAGAAAGTGATTTCACTGTTCAAATGTGCACCTCAGTTGAGTTCAACTATTAGACAACTATATAGAACATGCTGCCAGTTTGCTGTTGTCACATTAGTGTTTAGAGACATCTGTGAAGATCTAACTCTTCGATGAAACTATCAGAAGTCCAGCAGTTATGACAACATCATAGGAGCAACAGAATCCTGCTGGGCGAAATCCCCAGTGGATACAAACAGATATTATCATACACACTGGAGCACGATGTAAAACCTGATACATTAGATTATACAGTATGTGGCCAATGATTGTAAAATACTTGAACGAATCTGTGTAACTTCTCTCCAAATATTCACCAGATTTCACTGTGAATTTATATGTGGCCACTTTGTATACATGCGTGGTTTGTTTAATGGTTTAGTATTTTACCATGTCCTCATATCTGTTGTGTAGGATTTTTGCATGTTTCAGTATTGTTAAATATCCCTTGCTTTCACTCAGGAGATAGTTAAAGAGTAGTTTGGGCCACAGAGATCTGTGATTGATGCTTGTGGGCTGTGTAAACAGTGTTTGGGTCAAAGTTCAGCCTTCTGGGCAACGTTTCTATCATTTTTGTTGCACTGGAGAAGGTAAGCACTAAACCCAGTTTGTGGAACACTGTTTTTTCTTTATAATGAGCTGATTAAATTTACTTTTTAATATCTCAAAGCACAGGACGTTTTGATTAAATAGTCAATATTTCTACCAGAGGTAAACCGTCTCCTTCCTACTTCATACAGCTTTTTATTTCTAGACTCCTTTTTAGATTTATGCAGCTTTTCAGATGGGTTTGAGTTGTACTTTGGGTTTGTTCATGTGTCTCTGATCCAGATCACTGACAATGTAATACATTTCAGCTAACAATCTTTAGTATATAAAAGTAGGAAAAACAGATAACAATACAGACCCAAGCTCTGGAATGTGGGTGTCAGTTAGAGTGGCCCCAAAAGGGGGGTAGGGCGATGGGAGTTTGTCCCAACTAACTGGAGTGAAGAAAATCCTCTGAATGGCTGAATTGGACTTGTGCCCTGCAGTGACAGAAAACACACTGATTTTCCCTTGAAGAAGAGAAGAGGTAATCTTTGTAATGTTTCGATTTTGTCAAGCATGTTGTGTGACCTACAAAGTACTTTGTTAAAGATTGGTCTATTTTCAAATTTAAGTTAGCAGTATATTATGAAATTTTGAAGAAAATCAATCCAATAGTCCCTTTCATGCATTCTTGTTTGTGATTCATTCTGAACAAAATTAAGCTTTGATTGAGACATTGTGAAGTTCTTCTGTAATTTAATGCTGTGTTTTGGAAAGGAGATGTTTAGGAGGGGTGTTTTTCCCCCTTATCAGTTAGAAAGAACATTTTAATTTCTCTAAAATCTCTCTCTTAATCTTTTTAGTCTATCAAAGTCACCTACGAGTTTCTACCCAGTGATTCTCTGTGGAGAAGGAACACTGAAAGGGGGCAGAAGCCTTTGGTAGCTTAATCTGCAACCGTCAGCTTGCAACAGTGAAATAAACTTGAATGGCACAAGTTGATTGGATGGACAAGCACAGTTTTTCACTGTAAAATTCAAAAACTCATGTTTTCAGGGTTTCCCTCAAAATCTAATCAGAATGAGGATGCTGAAGAGAGCCTCTGCAATCATCCTGAGAAGAGGAATTACAATTTATCAGAGCAGAGTGGGCAGAAATGGTAAATGCATCCTGTCATTACATCTCTTGACATTTAAAAGTATAACACAGTTTATAACAAATTGATGATAACAATGATGATTTATGAACAATGACCTCTTCTCTCAGATAGCCTTTTCAGGGTTCATCCATCTGTATCACAGGCACTGGCAGAAAACAAACCAGTGGTCGCACTCGAGAGCACTATTATCACACATGGCATGCCCTATCCACACAACCTGAGGTACTTTGTTTAACATTCAAGTGTCATTAAATTGCCTTACCGTACAATACTAGCAGCTAATAGTTGTTTTAATCATTGATAATGAGTTCCATTAATGTGTTAATGAAGCACAGCGAAGGAGGTGGAGGCCATTGTGAGAGCTGAAGGAGCCACTCCAGCCACTGTTGGAGTGATTGAGGGTGAAGTCCATGTTGGTCTGTCAGCAGAGGAGCTTGACCACCTCGCCCGTTGCAAGAGCTCCCTGAAGGTGTCCCGCCGTGATCTGCCATATGTCATCAGCAAAGTGAGGATGCAAACACAAATTTCAAAAATAATCTCTCTAAAACATCATCATGACCGACCTGGTGGTAGGGTTTCATCCCCTTTGATTACCTGCGTCAGTTATTTATGGTGGTGTTTTGAATGTTGTCCTGGATGTGTATATTATTTTCCCAGGGGCTCTCCGGGGGAACGACAGTGTCAGCCACTATGATAGCAGCACATCAAGCTGGCGTCCCTGTGTTTGTCACAGGAGGCATTGGAGGAGTTCATAGAGATGGAGAGAACAGTAAGACTTCCATGGGGAATACTCACATGACTTTTACACATACTGACATAAAACTTAATATTCTTAACAAACTGTGAAAACAGAATCACTGACGGGATGCTTCTGGCCTCCTTTCATGCAGAGACTTTCAGCTGTTTTATGTCAATCTGGATTTGATGACATGAACAGACATTAGGGCTGTTATGCAGTCACAAATATGATCCAGGGAATAGTGGCCATAGGAGGGCATACTGCATGAAGGCAGTCACCAAAGCTGTCAGGACAGCAAGTTAAGAAGACTGTCACCACTGAGTCAATGATTATTCCTCCAGGTCTGGACATCAGTGCAGATCTGACGGAGCTCGGGAGGACTCCCATTGCAGTGATCTCTGCTGGCGTCAAGTCTATTCTGGACATTGGTCGCACCCTCGAGTTCCTTGTAAGAATACTGACACAATGTTGACACTGGATCTGATATTGTGTTTCCCATTTGAGTGTATACTTTAGTCAGCCAAATATGCATTAGAAGTATTTTACGTTTATGTTGAAGCCAGAACATAGCATGAGATTTAACATAGACACGGGTGTTAGAAAATATAAACATTAGACAGGCTTTACACCACAAAGACTTAGACACATTATGGGACATAAGTGCCAAGTGTAGGTATAGAGTTCGCATTTGTGTTAGATGAAGAATTGTGATTAAAGGGGACCAGGTGAGGACTATTATGTATTTCTGTTCTGTATCTTTTATTAGGAGACGCAAGGAGTCTGCGTAGCCACTTATGGAGCGATGAAGAACTTCCCAGCCTTCTTCTCTCCACAAAGTGGATTCACTTCTCCATACCAAATCTGTAACCCTGAGGAGGCTGCAAAACTCATTGGTATGTCAGCATTTTATGTCCTCAACATTGATAGTTTCCTTGACCCATAACACACAGAGGTTATGAATTTGGATCAGTTATTTCTGGGTTTTTTTGTGTTGTTCAGCAAGCACTCTGACACTGGGTCTCCAAAGTGGTGTCCTGTTAGCAGTGCCCATACCAGAGGAGCACGCAGCAGCCGGCCAGCAGATAGAGGAAGCCATACAGGCTGCAGTAACAGAGGCAAGGTGCAGAAAGTCTCTGTGGCTTGTAATCTGTTGTGAATCAAATGGAGTTTTGATCTCAGCTTAAACAAATCATCACTTTCTGTTCTTTTTGATTTATACAGTGCTAAAGGTATAACAGGAAGAAATGTGACTCCGTTCATTCTTCAAAAGGTTAATGAGCTGACTAAAGGAAAGTCCCTTCAGGCCAGTATCCTTCTGAAAATTTCAGTCACTGAGAACTCAAGCGGAAAACATGATAAGATCAAATTCTTTGAAAAACAAAAAGGCTCTAAGAATATTGATAATTTGTTGTCTCACAGACTAGATGTGTGCAGTGCTCTCAAAGGTTCATAAAATGTAAATTACTTTTGCCCTACTGCATATTACGACTAAAATGTCCTTAACTTCTTATGTTTTTAGACATTGCTCTCATTCATAACAATGCTAAAGTTGGCAGTCAGATAGCTTGTGCGCTGTCAAAACAAATGCATGAGAGAAAGTTAAAGGGTAAGACTCATCATCATGAAAAACACTCATCAGACTCAGAATCAGACATTGTGAGTATAAATAAATATGATGGACTTATATCATTCTATAATTTTATATTTTTTATTATAGTATACTATTGGCACATTTCATCATCCCACAATGCTGTTCTTTTACAGGTTGTCATAGGGGGAATAAATGTTGATTTTATTGCTAAAGGAAAAACAAAAGCACTTCATGTAAGTTTCATTTATTACATGCATTTATTCACAATGCTACAGATAACATAAGACCATATTATATAGGTTATAATGACTTCTGAGGAGATTTGTCTCTTTCAGTTCGGACAGACCAACCCAGGAAGTGTCTGTCAGTCATTTGGTGGTGTAGGCCGGAACATTGCTGGTGATGTTTATCTCCTTACCTTATTGCACATTTTTCATCAGTAATTTAGATCTGAGTTTCTCACATTCACTTCTTTGGTACTTTCCTTCAAGACTCTCTGAGTCGATTAGGCCGTAGACCCCTGTTCATCTCAGCTATTGGAACTGATTCACACAGTGATGCAGTGTTAAACTATTGTAAACATATGGTATGCAAACATAAACTGTTAATACTGAGCATGATTATAATCTCTTTTCCTTCAAATATGTATATGCAAAGTTCTTGACTTTTTATTACTTATTTCTGTAAGAACACAAGTGGTGTGGCCCGACTAGAAAAGCAAAGCACAGCTACTTACTGTGCCGTTATCACTGAGAGTGGAGAACTGAGTCTTGGATTGGGAGACATGGACATCCATCAGCAAATCACAGAGCAGCATGTAAGTTAAACTGGCAAAGTTATTCATTTTCAGCAAAGTTAGCCCAGGCTATATGTTCCAATACCATATTCAGAACCATATTCACTATTAAAGTTACAATCCACACATTTTCATTATATCAAAGCCAGATTTAGTTACTATTTATGGTTGGCATTTCATTTGCTATAGCTGTTAAATGTATTTACAGTTACCTCTGTATGTAGTAATTTTCCGGTGCTGGAATGGACAGGAGACAGCACATGCATGTACTGGAAGAAATCATATAGACAGGCACAGCCATGCATGTGGACATTGCAAATCGTTTGTGTTGTTTATATGTCATGTAATGCATTTATAATGTCATTTTGAACTAACCTGTGAAGCACTTCTTGTTTTTAAAATGTGCTATAGGAAAAAAAAGTTTATTTATTTAATTGCTATTTCTTTATTCTATCTTTTACTATCTTTTTAAAGGTGTCACAGTTTGAGAAGCAGCTTTCATCAGCCATTCTTGTGTGTCTCGATGGAAACATACCTGTCTCCACCATCGACTACGTTTGTTCCATAGCCACTAAACACAACATCAGTGGTAAGCATGGGGAGATGGTCACTAAATGAAAAACGAATGATTGTAAACACTTGATTTTAATACAATACCAACTATGTGTGTCATAGTTTGGTATGAGCCAACAGATTCAGAAAAGGCTTGTAAGCCTTTCCTTTCAGATGCCTGGAAGTCTCTGTCCTATGCATCCCCAAACCTGGCAGAGTTGTGCACCATGAACAAAACACTGGGTGTTCCAACACCTGAAGGTAAACTGTATTCCTTAATGAGTATTTAATAGATCTACTGTAGATTTGCTCTTATACACGTATTCCCACACAGTTGTTACAGGGTTCTTGTGAAAAATGCAAACAGTCATAGATGAGGATGTGGTTTTGTCTTGTGGGGTGACAGTGCTGCCAAGCTCTTTTGACGACATACTGAGTGTTGGTGTAGCTCTCGCACGCCCCCTTCTGGAGCATCTTCATTGTCTGGTGGTGACTCTGGGGGCTGAAGGGGTGTTGGTGTGTGGAGAGCATGATGCAGGCTCGGTCAACCTGCAGCCAAGAAAAGAGAAGAGGGTAAGGGCAACCTATGTTTAAACTGATAATGATGACGATGATTAATGACAGAGAAAGTGAAGATGTTTACTGCACCTGTGTTCGCAGAGGAGGCAGCTTTGTGCTCTCCATTATCCAGCAATTACTGTGACAGCAGAAGAGACAATGAATGTGTCAGGAGCAGGAGATAGGTGCTAGAAATTTACTTGACCTACTTTCTCTTCCCTATTCATCTTTTAATTTCTTTTCCAAACTTCCTGTTTCAGTTTCATCTACTTTTCATTTCGCATGACCTCTTTCTTTCCCTTTCATACTTTCCCTCTCTCACAAAATCATGCCTAAACATTCAAAGGAAAGACAATCATGCCCACTTTGTCTGCAGTCTTGCAGGTGCCTTAATGGCTGGGATTCTTCAGCGGCGAGACACAGACAGCTGTGTTCGGATGGGGCTCATGGCTGCACGGCTGTCCCTGGCGTCATCGCACCCCATCGCCCCCACGCTCACCTTAGCCTCTGTGGATCCCATCAAAGTCCAGAGTCAGTTCTGGCCCAAACCCAGCTTCATGTGGATAGATTAAAAATATTTTCAATTTTGAAAAATTACTTCAGGTCAATTGTGATTAGATTCTTGCATGTAACTAATACGAAGTGACTAGTACAAAGTACGAAGATGACACATTTTACAAAAAAAACCCATGAAATCCTAATTATATTTGATATTTTAAATTGTTCTGTAATAACTGATATCTTGCAAATAAAAATAAATGAACCATTTTTTCTAATCTTTGCTTGAGACAGCTAAATCTTTGTAAATAAATTTTGAAACATTATAACAAGGTACTCTGGTGTTTTGATTTCTTATAATAAAAAAAGGTACATATTTAACAGCAGTGGTGGAGGAAGTATGCAGCACAAGTGTGTGTTATTCTTATTTTTTGTAATATGTAAGCATCATGTTAGCTGTTGGTCAAAGTGGAGCTAATTTACTACTTCATATATTGTTGTGTAGTTTAACTGGTAAAAATCCAACATTTTTTATAAACTGATCCTATGTTTTTTATGTAAAATTGTAATCTACAAAGTAACTAATAACTAAATAAATATACTATTGTAAAAAAAGTATTTAAAAAATATTTCCCTATGAAATGCAGTGTAGTTGAAGTAGCCTATAAAGTCATATAAAATGTAAAATGTACTTACGTAAAGTACAGGTACCTCAAATATGTAGGCTATTAAAGTAGGCAAATGTACGTTTTGGTATTTTATTTTAAATGCCACATTCTAAATGTTTGCAGGAAATTTGTCCCTGGGCCTATCTTAAAACCCCCTCGAAAACTACATTTCCCAAAAAGTATCTGTCCATCTGCGCAGACTCAGTGGCATTAAACACTTGCCCCACTCCCTCCTCCCTACTTTAATGCTAGCTAAGATGGTGGTTAGAGCGTAAATTGTCTCTACAATACCAAGAGAAGAAAGGGGCAAAACATCTTTATAGCCTTTTAATTACCACAGAACAACACACCTACGGTTATCTTATGTGACCGTCTGTGAAAAAAATTAGATATTTCAGATATATTGGCTCGCAGTCCCCGCCCAATTTGGTGTGACTCCCTTGGAGTGGAATCCTAAGCTAAATACGGACAGGGTAAGTAACGCTAACGTTAGCCAAGTTGTTAGCTTCCATCCTCCCTTCAGAAATAAAGGACAGTTGTGTCTGTGGCGATTTTAAAGACTGACACTAGAATACTCGCTGGCTTATTGGATCGCTGCCCAGGTAATCTTACTGTCGTGAGAGCAATGTCAGTTGTTTATAGTACCAACAACTTGCCTCCAGTTCAGCGTTAGCTTGCGTAGGCCGCGTCGTAAGCTTGGCTCCAAAACTCCGTATATTTCGATGATAATGTAGCATGCTAGCTACGTCGATGCTAGCGGTTAGCATCCAACAAGCTGTCAGTTAAGATGTAGGCGAAAACGTAACGTTATGGCATACGTTTCTTTAAACGTTTAACGACAATATCAAGTTAATGTTGATCTCTATATGTTTTGTTTTTATGATCTAACTCACAGTTGCTGCTGCACACTTGATATTAGTTAGACCGGCTTCTTTTACCAATTCGGGGCTAATGTTAGCTTAGCCTAACGTTAGTCAAATAACATCTGTCATAATGGACAACCCAGAAGACAGAGCAGCTAAAGTTACCAGTCTGGCAAACTAGCTTGGTATTCTGGCTTGATACACGACTTTACCAATCAGCTGATGTCTGCAGGTGAAGCTGCAAAACCGTGATACTCCTGTACATGTTAATTTATTAGCAAAATGTTGGCATTTCTCTGTTCTCGTCTAATTCAACACTGTCGGGTTTTTCCCAGTCTGGGCTTGTCATTGAATTCGCCTGCTGGCAGCAGTGTTGTCGCGTAGAAACCGCGCTGGCGATTAACAGCTAAGAACAGACGGTTCATTTGTAAATAAACTCAGTTTGTAGCATTTTTCTTTCAACGTCCATCGTGACGTTGTGTCTGGTACTGTCAACCCCTGGAAGATACCACAACATGCGCATTAACACGATGACTACTGGTTTTGACTTGTTTTCTAAGACGTACACTCGGTTGTCCTTTTATTAGGTACACGTAGCTTGAACAGAATCCAAATCCCTGCAATAACTCAAACCATCCTGGAGGTTATAATGTTAAGTTTTTGTTTAAACTGTTTTAGGGAAACAGAAACTTCATGCACATTTTTGAAGGCTGTAGTTTGGGACCCATCACAATTTCCTTTTTTTTTTTTTTGTATGATCAACACACCAAATATTTGCATTTTTTAAATGTGGGAAACAGCGAATTGTTGACAGTTCTGTTGACTGACTGAAGCGATTACTTGCTGATTACTTTCTGTCGATCACCTCATTGTTTCAGCTCTCTATTTACCCTAAATGGTATAAATGGAGTAGATAAACATTACAAACTTCTGTGTACAGCACAACGCAATGCAGCAGCACCACAAACTACAGCCTCCAGAAGGGCCATAGAGTTGAATCAACACCTATCTAGATGAGATTTAAGTAAGATGTGTTGCATTAGACTGCAGTAGTTTAGCCAGGTTGACCTGTTTCCTCTGTTGCTGAATAGGTAAAACTCTGCAAGAAAGATATTTGTGTGAATACATTTTGGTGTGCTCAGTCTGATACTGTGACCTTGGTGCTCATAAAGTCAGTTTCTGGGGCTACACCATCCCGCAATAAATCATTTGTGGGGGGAAACAAGTTTAGTTAGTAAAAGGAAGTTATTCTGTTGATATTGTTTCCAGTCGTGTCATGATGGAGTGCTTATACTTATCTTTTGTATGTCGTGTTAGCCCTGTGCTCTGTGACCAGCTTCAACACTCACCCTCGCCGCGCCATAGGATGTCCCACAGCCCTGAAATGAAGGACGACCCCATGGAGTGCCCTCTGTGCATGGAGCCGCTGGAGATCGATGATGTCAACTTCTTCCCCTGCACCTGTGGCTATCAGATCTGCCGCTTCTGTTGGCACCGCATCCGCACAGATGAGAACGGCCTCTGCCCCGCCTGTAGAAAGGTGAGAAGATGATGAGATTAACAGGATACCAAAGAAAAGTCATAACAACTGAAGGGTGATCATCTGTTATGGGGAATTGTTCAGGAAAACAGCATGATAGTGAGGATGCTGAGTGCCCAAATGCTACTATTGGCGGGGGGGGGGGTTCATCTCCCCTTCTGAAGTAACTTGCTAGTTAAATCATCTCTTCATCATAATTTTCAATTTACAGCCTCAGCAGTTTGGCTAGCGATGCCTGTTGAACTACCATATTGACAACTAAAGTCCTCAGTTAATACCCACTGTCCTTACTTAATTTAAAGTAAATGGTGGATTTCTAAGCGTGTAACAAAATTTTCTTTGTGTAGCCGTACCCAGAGGACCCCGCTGTATACAAGCCTCTGTCACAGGAGGAGATCCAAAGGATAAAGAACGAAAAAAAGCAGAAACAGAATGAGAAGAAGCAGAAGGTGACAGAAAACCGCAAGCATCTGGCCAGTGTCAGAGTGGTCCAGAGAAACCTGGTGTTTGTGGTGGGACTCTCACAGCGACTCGCTGACCCTGAGGTGAGTGTAGCGGCTCCGCCAAAAAGCTCAGACTTTGGAGTGTCAGGAACTATTGGCATTTTAGCTTGGTGTAAAGAAGGCTGTGATAAACTGGAGGAACTAGCTGCTAGATTTATCTTGGACTTTTCTGACATTCACAGATACAATGAAAATCATGAATCCTTTGTTCAGGAATCATTTTAATGCACATTTAAAGGTCTTCTGGAAACCTCCCACTGAAGCTTCAAGTGATATATACATATATATTTATAATCTTTTCGCATTGTGCCCACAGGTCCTGAAACGACCAGAGTATTTTGGGAGGTTTGGAAAAATCCATAAAGTGGTCATCAACAACAGCACATCTTACGCCGGTTCACAGGTGAGTGATTGGATCAAATTCACAGGAAGTTCTCGCAATTTATACATTTATAAACATTAACAGAACTTAATCAATATACATTTTTAATGGAAGAACAGAAAACTTTTTGTTGTTTACAATTACAAATTATTACAAATACAAAGATTTATTTGGTTATCGTTTCTCCACAGCTACATACATTATTTTCTCAGCTACTTTATAGATAAAATTGTCATTACTGAGGGATAAAAATGCTAACTGATTAAACATGTTGACAGCGAATAATGGTAAAATTGTACAATACAGCTCTGTAGATCTGTCTGACTTGTATGTTTACTTGAATTTTCTGGGGTTTTTTTAGGGGCCTAGTGCCAGTGCCTATGTGACTTACATCCGCTCTGAGGATGCTCTAAGAGCAATACAGTGTGTGAACAATGTGGTTGTTGATGGCAGAACACTCAAGGTGAGAAGTTAACCACAATGATTTGGCGCCTCGCTTTTATCTATATTAAGTCCTGATCTTGTATATGGCTTTTATTAGAAGTTTTATGTGCATAAAAGCCATGTGATCTAGGTTCTCAGGCTGAAACAAAAACATTCTTATATTAAACAACCTTCAAAGTAAAACTGCCTTCTTTCTGTGTCTCTGTTACAGGCTTCTTTAGGCACAACAAAGTACTGCAGTTACTTCCTCAAAAGTATGCAGTGTCCCAAACCAGATTGTATGTATCTACATGAGCTGGGGGATGAAGCAGCTAGCTTTACTAAAGAGGAGATGCAGGTAAAAGTATTGTTTCATTGAGACTGAGACTTTCTGAGAAAAAATTTTCTCTTTTCTGTGTGCGTTGATCTTGGTTTATGAATTTATAAAACTTATAGTGTTGACTCCTTTTGTGCTTTTGTGTTTTTAGGCAGGGAAACATCAAGAGTATGAGCAGAAACTCCTCCAAGACCTCTATAAAATTAACCCTAGCTTTCTACAACCTCCAGCATGTGGAACAGAGAAGTCAAAGAGTAAATCCAACTCCACACAGAGGTTTGTTCTTTCTTACTATGTTCTTACTCTTATTATAGTGAAACATCTTTAGAGTGATCACATATATCCAGGTCAAATTTATGACTACAATTGGATGATTATTATAATGAAATGTTTTTCTTTTTTTCTCACGCACAATACTGTGTAATTGACATTTGTATATTTGTTACATGAATATAAAGTAATGAAACAGAAAGCTTCGCTATTTAAACATGTACAGCTGTTTCAAACGCTTTTCAAATTACTGTACCGTCTGTTATTCAAATACACTACAGTAGTAGAGTTCCACGCTATAGATAAAATATAGGTTACTGCAGTTCACATTATAATTAGGCTAAAGCCTAA